ATATTTCCGTTCTTGTGATCTATCTTGTTGGTTTTTTCCTTATATGTTGTCCTTACTATCCCAGGCCTTCATCCTTGTTGCCTCAAGCTCTCGTTGATTAGATGAGGAGCAGCAGGAAGCCTAAGGTCTATCTTCTGAACACAATAAGATAGGTCGGCCAACACCGCCGCTTGTAGCCCTGTTGTCGCTGCCCCCCACCGCCACTTCCAAGAACCTCCCGACACCACTCCATGTTTCCTGTCGCAACCGTTTGTCAGGCCCGCCCCTAGCCAACTTTCCAGCTCCAACTTTGACTAGCCAAGTCCTAATTCACCCCTCCATAGCCCCACCTCCGATAAGCCCAGCCCAAACCCGACCACCAGGCAATGTAACCCTAGCTGCCACCCCTCCCCACATCTCAGATCTGATCTTCCATTCGTCCGTTTTCCACCTACCCCCGCCGACACCGTTGTAACCTTAACCCTAACTAGGTGGAAGAAGAAACGAAGAAGAGATGAACCGGAACTCGGATACATCATAAAAGGGATGATGTTTCATATGCGAATAGATGATGGTCGATCAATTTCGAACTGGAGGCGTTGGTCATTCGATTTTGGATCGGAGGCGATGGTCGATCGATTTCAAATTGGAGGCGATGGTCGATCAATTTCGAATCGGAGTCGACCATTGATTTAGAGCCGGAGGCGGGTGCCAGACAGCGATGATGGTGATGCGATTCAATGGTGTCGGAGATGGTTATGTGGTTGGCAGATTGGCGGTGTATAGGCAAGCGATGGGCGAAGTTGAGAGGCGATGGGCGAAGATGAAAACTTCACTGGGAGGTGGACGGAAGTTTCAGATGAAGGCTCTGTTCGATTCGCTGGGCTTGGGAGCCAACGAAAGGGATAGGGTATTATCAGTGCCGGTCCTAACTAAATTCGGGCCTGAGTCGATCTTCATAAAAAGACCTCTGTAAATTACATTTTTATGTAGTATAATTCGTTTTTGAAGTTAAAGACTAAGCATCACAAAATAACTAATATATAGGAATACCAAATGTTTTAAAATAACGAATTAGGTGGCAACTCCGGTACCCAATTAAAAAATGTGGTACCGTACCTATCATTTACTTGATTGGTCCACATCATTATATCATTTTTAATTTAGATTTAAATAATTCAACTGCAACATTCTCATTCGTCCATGTGAACAAAGCTACGGTACCTTATGAGTACCATAGAATCTACCAACTAATTAAGTACAACTCATCAAACAATTTTAGCCGCATTAATTAAGTCAACATAATCAAGGTGTTCAATATATTTCTTGTCAATTCATAACATAGTTAATTCACGAAAAGTCAAACAAATGTTGAAACTAAGTAAATAAAAACATAATTTATTGAAATCATATATATTATAAATTTTGATGTATTAGTTTTTAAGTGACATATACTATTATTTGTTAAACAAATGTGCAAAATAATACATACTGCACGTCAGTAAATTAGAGAACGTAACCTACTTAAAATTTAAAATTTAAATATAATAAAATTGAAATAATTTAATTTTGCATCTGATTTTTAAAGGCATCTCAAATAGTCTAAATATCCCAAATTAAGCTCGAACTTAACTTTCTAAACATATGGATCAATCAATGACGTCTCAAATTAATCCTTGGAGCAACTTATTATTTATCTCCCATGTACCCAAAAAAAACTTTTCATTGTGCAAAACAAATTCGAAATTCAAATTGGGCTAATAGAGTTTTTAGCTTTACAATTTCAAGTCACGAGTTTTGTACGGTATTTCCATTGCATTGTGTTCGTACTTGGTCAGATATTTTTTATTTTGAAGGGAAGAAGTAGATAGAATTTAAATCAAGACAGATATATTTTATAATTTAAACACATGTGTATGGTAGGAAGATTTTTTAAATTTTGGGCCCCTAAATATTTAACTTTTTTGGGGCCCTGAGGCCTTTGCCTCAAAACCCTCCAAATAGGCACGGCCCTGGGTATTATTAGCCTTTTAATTATAAAAGTTGTCACTTTTTTGTGCAGGTTTAAAAGAGTGATATTTTTTTATCTAAAAGCCAACAAGTAATATTTTTGCCATTCTTTCAATAGTTTTCTTCTTTTTGTGAATTTAAAGAAACAGAGATCACAAAGTATCAATTCAAACTTCTAGTCTATTACTGGTGCATCATCAAAATCTAGAAGGACCTAACTAAATTTAGTTACATTAATTAAATAAATTATGAGTAGAAATGTAGTGTTTAGTCTTTTTAAAGGAAAATCATACATATGGTCTTATTTTGAGAAGGATGCTATGTTTTAATCATACCACGAGTAATTTCCTCTATATAATATGAGAACAAACAGCTACAGAAATAAATGAAGCAAATGTAATTCATCTAGCGATATGGAGTTCTACAGGAATAAATGAGGCAAAATCATCCAAGTTTATTATTTTTGTTAATTTGAAAACTCAAAAATTGGGGGAATGATCAACAAACTCAGTCTTTTTATGTGAATTGTTATATTACACAACTCAATGAGTAAGAATACTAATTGTTACACAACTATTAGTCATTACTACATGTGGTACGAGCATATGTGCAATCAAGCTTTTCTTATTAATAATCGTTTCCGTTCATTTTTAGCTTGTTAAAATTTGTTTACTTATTCACAATTAAATATTTATTAGTCTGATACTCCGCATAATATTTTTATGTGTCAGCGATTTAACTATGACACGCAGTAATGTTTAAATGTATTTTTATTTCTTACTACGTACCTGTTAAATGACAACATACAAGAATTGCACTAAAGTGGTGCTATCAATTCTTATAGTGATTTTTAAGAAAATCTAGAACCAAATCGGTATTGAATTAACAAATTTTTAAATGGTTTCTAATTTTCTTTTGAAAAAATGAACCGTTCACACCCATACACTTTTCTTCATAAGATGATATATAAAAAAATCACCTTTTTAAGTTTATTTTTTGTATCAGTACTTACTTAGAATCTTCTTATTCAATTTTATTTATCATAAAATGATAAAAAATGATATATGTCGAGAATTTCCCGAAAAAAAAGTAAAAGCCTTTTGGAATTCCAAATACATATTTCTATGTTTAAAGATTAGATAGTTCCAAATATTTAAATTTGTCTTAGGTTGATTGCAATCTCAATACACCTAATTTCCCAACATTTTATAAGCGATGCTTGGTGTATTTTCTTTGTTAGTTCAAAATTTTCACTACAATTTACATTGTCAATATATTCAACTAGTGCGGTTTTTTTTAATTAAACCCGTACGCTTATTATTATTATACGCCATTTTTTGTCAATTGTTTTTGCCAATAATGATGGTTTTAAAAGTCAAACAATCTGATCTATTTAAGGAATAAAAATATAATAGTTCTATTTTGAAATACACAAACGTTTTAGTATTATTTAAGACAATTTCCCTATTTATTTTAGTTAGATAACAACATATGAAAAAATAGTTAAAATGATTCTCTATAATAATATTAGCCATTAGGTAATACAACTAGCAAAATAACTTCAACCTTACATTTTCATATTATTACACAATTTAGAACGGGAAATTGTCTTTGACAATTTACACATTTTCAAAAGTTAGCTAATAAACCGAAAATCAGGGTCACCCAACGGATTCTTAATTGGCCTTTTTATTTGAATATTACTAACCGAAAGACAAAAGACAATTATATAACTATGTTTGAAATTTTCTACAAATGTGATCATGTTTACCGTTTACGGAGCATCATTTAAACTCATTAGTTAATTCCATATCACATTTATTGTTTAAAAATATATTTTTAATAGCAGGCTAACTAAAGTTGCCATCCAGCCTTGATCTATCACTGTCGATCTGCTCCCTCCCCCGCCGCCAGTCCTCCGTCCCTGCCGCCGGTGCTCCGTTCGCCGCTGCTGGTGCTCCGCCCGCCGCCGATGATAGTCATTAACAAGAAATTTAAGGAATTTAATGCACCGTCGGCACCACCACTGCACCTCCCTCGCCGCCGCTGCCGCCTCCACTAGTCACTAACCCAGTGACTCCCAGTCACTAACCAGTGACTTCCATCCAACTCCGGTCACTTATTCCACCTACTCCGGTCAATAGCTCAGTGACTTTCGGTCACTTACCAGTGACGGCCACCCAACTCCAGTCACTAATCAGTGACTTCCACCCGCTGTGACAGCTACCTCCCCACCGCCTGGCCGGAGGCGGCCGATGACAGTCCTTGCACCACTGCCCCTAACTGAGCAATACCAGACCCCACTGCAGCCTCGCTAGCCCGGCCACGACCCCACCAGCCCTACCACCGCCCCAGCGTAACCCTAGCCGCCACCGCCATTCTCGATCTAGATCTGAAAATCGCACATTCGACAGATCTATTAGTTCAACGCCCCTTGGACTGACTCTGTACGTATCACATCGTAGATGGTGGTCCAGATATGCCGTCGCTGAACCTTAGCCTCCATGTCATTGTAGCCATCGCCATAGATCCGACCGTTGTCACCATCTTCCTCAGGCAAAGAAAGGTGAAGAAGAAGACAACAAACTTGGAGGAGATGGTGTGGGCTGCGGCGGCGGCATTGTGGACTTGATGGCAGGAGGTTGACGATGGAGAGAGTGCAGAAACCTGGTGCGTGAAATTGCGAAATTGTGGGGAGCGTTGAAAAGTGAAGACCCGTATCTGCAAATGGGAGGTCACTTTTTGGGGAAAAATTAAACTGTTGATATTTTTGGAATTGAAAACTGAGTGAGTATTATTAGTGCCATTTTTTCTTCTTAATTCACACAAAATTTGGTGATATTGACTTTCCTTAGATAATGATTACTAAGTTCGATCAATTTTCTTTTTTATATGAAATTATTTAAATTATGAATAATAGTTTTTGTTAAAAATACTTTCAAAAGAGTATAGAACTCTTAAATTTGGCATAAATATAATACTAACCATCATTGCCCAAAATTTATATAATGAAATTAGTAAAGTTTTATGCTACGGAGTAGTCATTATAAAGACACGCTGCATAATTATTACGCATTGACACACTAGTAATTGGAAGTGGATTCCAAATTCCGCGCCGGACCCGCCGCCAGTTTATTCCTCTTCCTCATACAACCGGCGGCTTTAGAGAAAGAAGTTGGTCAAATTAATCAAAAAAATTACTCGTAATTGGCTTTTTTGGTTTGTCGCGCGGTTGACCAAACAAATCCGATCCCGGCCTTTCCTTTAAAGTCTAGTGCAGCTTAGCTAACTTGGAGGACGGGGAATCTATCTAGCTAGCTTCTCGTTATATATAGTCACGTGCATTCACATTCGTCTCGCCACCTTTTCATCACTGTGAATCCGATTCAAACTAATTAAGCTGTGTTACAGCAGATACGGAGACGAAGAAGATCGAAGGAGATCGATGATGAACGGAGGAGAGATCAATTCTCAGATGATGAAGGTTGTCAAAGGAGAGTTCGGCTACGTCCTCGAAGATGTTCCTCACCTCACTGATTACATCTCTCATCTTCCTGTACGTATCCTCTCTTATTTCTCTATCTTCACACTTAGGTAGGGAGGGGGTGTTTGGATAAGTGTTTGGATGTAAGCTCTAATTTATCCATAGAATTAGTTTTTTAGAATCTGAAGAGGACCAGATTCTGAAAACTGATTCTGATTCTACTTTTTCTTTACAAAAAGAAGTAGAAGCAGATGCAGTTCCAAACCTTTGGGAATATCATCAAATAGGTCCCATCAAATACGGACTATAGAGTTGCTTTTCATTTTCGGGTTTGATGCGGTAAATATTTGATTTCTATATATTTTAAACTCTTGGTGAGGAACTAACTTTGGTGATAAGTCCTGATTTTGCATAAAGCAAACTAAGGATGTTTTCTTTTGCACTGTTTTTCAGTCCCAGATCAGACCAGATCAAATTAGACCAGACTTCTGTAGTTATAAAATACACATAGACCAGTTCAGATCAGACCAGACTAGCAAATTTTAGTCCAAAAGAAAACATCCTAACTTTTAGCATCATACTAGTATTTTATTATTATCAATACTAGTAAAGCCAAACTTGGTAGAAATTTATTCCTATTTAGGGAATAAAAAATATGATAATTTTATTTTGGAATTTCAAAACGTTTTTACTCCTATTTAGGGAATTCTGTCTTTTGGAATTCATTCATTAACATTGAATTCCAATGAATCTGGTTAAATCTAACCATAAGAAGAAACTATACAAAAGAAAAAGTACTCTGTATAAAATTAAGCCATAAGGTGATAAGTTTGGGTCATGGACTAATGAAATTCTAACCACTTTCTAAAATGCCTGTTTTTTACTTAAACTTAAATTTGCTGGTCTGATCTGTTTAAGTCTGGTCTGATCTGGTCTGAATTAGTCTGGTCTGATAAATGTCTGGTCTCTTTATATTTTATAACTACTGACATCTGATCCGGTCTGAACTGATCTGGTCTGGTCTATTTAAGTTTGGTCTGGTTTTGTCTATTTTACATCTTAAGCGCCGGGTAATTTATCTGATTTTTTTTTTTTGTAACGTTTCTGTCCAATTTATCTCTCCTGTCTACGCAATTGTGAAAATTCGAACTTCCCTCCAATCTAAACTGAAACACTCGGTGTCTGAGTGATTTCATCCAATTACATCTCAATAAACAGAACTCGCTCATTTCCTACACAAACGGATCATAATACCCTGACTAGTAATGAACACAAAAAGATTTTAAATCTGAAACGGATGATGATTTCAGATCTAACAGATGGTTAGGGTTCTTCACCGATGGACAATCAGATATGGATTGAATGTCCATTAGGAGGCGAGGAGGAGGAGGAGAAATATATAAGAACTTAAAGAACATGAATGTTCACAAGCAAGATTAACTTGCTCAACAGCCGAGGGCAGATCTAAACTATAATTATGGAAGCCCAGTGCATGAGTGTAACCTAATTCTTATCAAATTTTTGGGTAATTTTTTTCATTTTTCCCAATTAGACCAATCATTATTGCTTTTTCAAGTCTACTATATTCCCGCTTCAGCCCACCCCAACTCCAATTTGTGGATTGGTCCTTGATGCTGCAAAGCTCTAAAGAGTCCCAAGTTGTACTAATCTCCCAAATACCTCCTATGCTAAAGGAACCCTTTATTTATAATAAGTCGCAATATCTATACAAGCTAACATATAAATAGTAATCAGGTAAATAATAATCAACTATTTTCTGATGTCATGCTATCTTTATCTATTGTTAGAATCTTCCTTCTACTAAATATGATGCAGTATGATCATTTGATCTATCTTGATTGATTATTGCTTTCCTTCCATAGAGGTTGGATATATTTCTTTCATTTTCTTTATTTTCTCTGCCTCTATGACAAAATTGCTAAAGAAACTGGTCATATGTAGAATGATAGGATAAATAGAGATCTAAGACTAGTTTTCATAAGAGTAGCACTAGAGTACGGACTACGGAGATAATAATCTGAACTGAGTAAATTATGATTTTGAAATTTTTATATGTAGTCTGACACATCATTTCGTCCTTATGAGGGAGAAAATAGAAATCTACTCTTCAGAGGTGACTTGGTAACATATTGCAAACATATTGACCGTAGACAAGTATATCATGAAAGATCTCTTCACTTTTTCCAAGATTGGCATTCTTTTGTGTCTGTCTCTTAAATGAGATTTGTGCTCCCTAATGTATCTCAAGCAATAAATGTTGCATTTAAAATTTTACGCTCTGTAATTTCTGTAAATAGTTGAGTATTGCTTAGGATTTTGATATCCAAACATGGCTACCCCCAGATTGTTTATTTGAGCTTTCATGCTTAAGTGTTAAGACTATAGAATCACTGTGAGTTTAGGTTTATAATGAATCAATGTGGGCTACTTGGGTTAATGCAGACTTATCCAAACCCATTGCGGTCCAATCCTGCATATTCAGTTGTCAAGTAAGTTGTTTCTTTCTTTTAGAGTTACATCACCAGAACAAGTTACATTATCTCCAAATTGGGCACTGCTTGTTGTTTATATCCTTAGATATTTTGATGGTTGTCATGATTTCAGGCAGTACTTTGTTGACATGGAGGATACAGTTCCCAAAAAGGTTATTTCTGCCATTCAATTTGTCCGGTTACTGTTATTCATAAAAATTTTGTTTTTAAATAGAAGTTCATTAGACGGTACCAGGGGAGTTGTGCTAAAACTTTTCATATAGTTGTCTTCTCTTTCACTTTTCTGCCATGTAACATCTGGATGGGGTTTGCCTCTTAGAAGTAGTTAAATCCATCCTTTTTATCATAGGAGTACTTGCAATTTTATGTTTCTCTTTATAGATTGTTGTTCACAGTGATAGTCCCAGAGGGGTCCATTTTAGACGTGCCGGTCCTCGTCAGAAGGTATGTTTCATGATCACAGTTGGATGATCTCTCATTCATCTAGAATATTATAAATGATCATAGCCTTGCTTTAATCGGTGTTCAAATGATGTTGCAGGTGTGTTTTAGTTCAGATGACGTGCATGCTTGCATTGTAACATGTGGCGGTTTATGCCCTGGGCTAAATACTGTGATCAGGGAAATTGTTCATAGCCTTGACTACATGTATGGTGTCAGAAAAATCATTGGAATAGAAGTGAGTTACTTTTAGGACCCACAGAAATTCACCAGATATATGTATCTTATGTTTACTCTATAGTTTGCATATGCGTCATATTGAATTCGGAAAACTCCTATTTAAATTTGGTTTCTGATTTTTCTTTCTTTCTAAAACTAACTTAAAGTTGGTTTCTGATTTTTTCCCTTTTAAAACTAACTTTATTTCTTGGTACCAAACCTGGATTTCGATTACATATGTGGTCTAAAGGTCTTCCAGGACTCTTGTCTTATGTTCTTTACCTTGTATAATCTCCATTCTCCATTACTTCAGATGCAGGTAAATATGCTATTTAGTTATTTCGCACATGTCGTCGAGTGGGATAACTGATAAGGATATATTAAGTGCGCAAATCATGGAATTTAATTACAACATTGGGTTTTGCTAGTTCTAAGTTAGGTAGCTTCATTGAGAAAGTAAAGTGCATAATGAGATTAGTGACAAGTTCAAAGGCTTATGCCGGTATTATTGCTATTTATTGATTGTATCAGACAGTTTATGAAGTTTTAGGGTGAGGGGCCCCTCATGAATGAGGATCCAAATCACATTTGTCCATATTTATTCTTGAAACTGTACTGATAATTTGTTACAAACCATACTCCATAGTCCATACTATTTAGGGCTGTTTGGTCACACTCTTTCATGAAAAGTTGTAGGCAATTATAGTATTATGTTGCTATTATTGACTAATAAGGGTTCTCCTTCTTAGGGAGGCTACAGGGGATTTTATGCCAAGAATACCATTGATTTAACTCCAAAGCTTGTAAACAACATACACAAGCGTGGTGGTACAATCCTTCGATCATCACGAGGAGGTCACGACACAAAAAAAATTGTAGATAATATACAAGATCGTGGGATTAATCAGGTTTCAGTGCATGAAATCTGTTTAGATTTTCTCTTCCAGCAATATCACTCTTTTTTTCCCTTATAGTCTGTGAACATGCTAAAATATTTTTCTGTCCTTTTGGAACAAGATTCATTTGGGTATAATTTGGTTTACTGCTTCAGGTCTATATTATTGGAGGGGACGGAACCCAAAAAGGGGCTGCTGCTATCTATGAGGTAAGAGGTACATCTAATTATGATGAATATGCAGTGAAGGACCTATGGGACATGGGGCCAAGCTCCCCAGGTTCCAGCCCCGAAATATTGTTCTATAGAGTAAATAGTATTAGTTCTTAGATGAATGCTAATTCTTGATATTGTAGAAGCCATTAGGAAGAAACTTTGATAGGTTTAAGAAGAAGAAATATCATTGTTAATTGTTTGAACCCAAGCCAGAACGACGCCACAATTCATGAGTTTTTTTGAAAAAGAACGATCTAAAAGATGTTGTTTTAGATTGAGTAATTAAATAGAATAAAAGAAAAAAAATTATGCATCACTGTTTCATCTTGAACTACTTGATGACTACTTTTTACTCCCTGTCCCAAAAAGAAGTACCGTTTCAATTAATGATGTCTAACTGCTGATAGATTTAACTCTTCTCTAATACTACATTCATCCTATTTTATGTGTCTTGTTTTAGTTTCACACAATTATTATAAAGTGGCTGACAAAGTAAAATTTGTGGTTGAGATTCGAGAATAATAAAGTGAAATATTGTGAACCACATATTTCTTTCCAAAAAAGGAAATATGACAATTATTTTGGAACAACCCAAAAAGGAAAGTAAGACAGATTAAATCGGACGGAGGGAGTATAAATAATTAAAGTTTACATATTTATCAACTGCAATAATGTAATAATAAAACCCAAAAACTGAATACAACTATGATACAATTAACGTTCATGATAAAATCATATATGAAAATAGAGTGGAGTTGAATGCAAAAATAGTGTTAGGAACTTTATTTTGGGTGGATGGTGGTGGTAGTTTTATATTTCAAGCTAGTGTTCTCTTTTTTCTCTCTCCTTCTCTTGTATCCTTTATCTTCTTTATGTTTCTATGTTCTTATATTATTTTTTATCTTTTATCTTATATCTTTCTTATGTTCTTATATCTTTCTTTTATCTTTCTTATGTTTGTATGTTAAAACTTTGCCAACTTTCCTTTTTTGGGTGTCCCACTAACTTTGCCACTTTCCCTTTTAAGTAAAGAATTTGTGGTTCCAGTTAATTCTCTCTCCTCTACACAAACCTCAACCACACAGTTTTTACTTTATTAATCCTCGTGCCGGTCAAACTTGGCAAAGTTTAATAGGACGGAGGTAATATTTCTTTTCATCTTTTGCAATGGAGCCAAAGACTCACTATTTTTTGGCTTGGGAATATGATGGAATAAGGCAAAATGGTTCACTAAACTGTCTGTGCTTCTTTGTTATGAAGCAACAGTCAGTCCATGCAATTTTCGATGCGGTTTTCACTATGGGTCATCCAGAAACAGTCTGTCTCTCCCTGCTTTAGTGCAGGGGTAAGACTGCGTACATCCGACCCCCTTACCCCACCGTAGGTCAGAGCCTTTGCGGCAATGGGGTAATGATGATGATGATGTTCTTGTGTTATTTTTATCTTCTATTTATCTTTATCTTATCCATTTTATCTTGCTTTTTTCTATTTTTCTTATCTTTCTTCTCTTTTTGGTGCTGATATCATGGATCGATTCATGTTAGCCGACCCCAAAATCTTTTGGCATCAAGGCTTGGTTGTTGTTGTTGTTTGTAAGGTTCAGACTTCGCTATCAAACCATTTAACTGAGTTGTGTATTTTCATGTTAAGGTGTGTTTTTCGTTGCACGTAAATATTGCCAAATGAAGGGTTAACATTGCCAAATGAAGGGTTTTGACAGTTTGAAACATATTTTCCTTGATGTATAAATGTATAGTTTATGAATGAAATGTATTGTCTAATAAAATTGATGAATTTCCACCATATTGTGAAAACTAACCCATTCATGTGGAATGGACCTCTCCATCTCTATCATACATCTTAATTTTTATTAGAGAAAATTGCTTTATGTAGAACTAAACTACTCCCTCCGTCCCAAAATGATGGTCCTGTATTTCCTTTTTGGGATGTCCCAAAATGATGGTCTTGTTTCCCTTTTTGGTAAAGAACTAAAAGTGGATTACCATTTATACCCCTCCCTTTTAATGAACAGTAAACATAAAAGGATGAACAGTACAATAAAGTAAGGTTCTTTAGTCTTTCTACCACACTTTCTTAATCTTTGTGCCCAAAAGAAACAAGACCGTCAAATTGGGACGGAAGGAGTAGTATTTTTCCAAAACAGGACTACCTTCGTTTTATTCCTTACCTATGATTTATATCATCTTTAGTTTGGAAAGTGTGGTAGTTTTAGCCTAAAATGCCTTTAGGGTTTAAACATTAGCATTTCTAGGGTGTACCAATCCCTCTTAGGGTTTAGTGGTGGCCGGCAGCAATCCGACGGTGTTTGCTCTTCTGCGGAGGAAGTAGTACAATAAAGAGTGATTTGGGTTCTCAAATAAATTTCAGTCCTTACAGTTACAGTACTATCTAAGAAAAAATGGTATGTTTTGCTCCTATTTGAGGACATCTCCCTTTTTGTTAATCTGATACAACAACCACATTACCCCAATGCCGCAAAGGTTCTCACCTACGATGGGGTAAGGAGGGACGGATGTATGCAGTCTTACCCCTGTACTAGAGCGCAAAGGGACTGTGTCTGGATGACCCACGATTTTGTTAACCTGATAATTTAAACAAAATGGAATGACCTTGAAATGCCCAACATGCAAATGGCACGTAGTGTGGCTCCCTAATGTACAACAATGGTATTTATGTCTTAAGGAAATTTTAGTTTTGAATGTTTGTTCCTGTGCATAAGTCATTTATTAGAACTACTATCCTTCTGTGTTGCAGGAAGTAAGATGCCGAGGTCTCAAAGTTTCGGTTGCTGGGATCCCCAAGACAATTGATAATGATATTCCAGTATTTCTCATTCCTTCAAAGCATGGATTACTCTTATATTTTATAAGAATCAAATGGCATAAATGAATTTTCCCTGTCTAAACTATTTAGATCAATTTCTAATTACCAACATCATTTACTATATTACAATTGTCAATTACAATATTACAATTGAAACTTTAAAGTATTATCATCTAAATGATTACTCCGTGCATTGTATGCCATATTTCATTGCATGTAAATGTCACATTAAAACGCTTTTTAAGAATCATAAATGTTGCTAGTTTTTATTAAAAATGGTGCTTGTAGCTGTTGCATAGGGGAAAGTGTAAAAGGCATATATGTGTGTGTATTGATATATTGGCTGGCAAATACCTAGTCACTCCTTTGCTATTGAAGCCATAATAATAATATTGTACTCTTTGTGTGTTATCAGGTAATTGATAAATCGTTTGGTTTTGATACTGCTGTAGAAGAGGCTCAACGTGCCATCAATGCAGCTCACGTTGAAGCCGAGAGTGCAGAAAATGGTATCGGTTTGGTTAAGCTAATGGGTCGCTATAGTGGTAAGGTTCTCACCTTAAGTTTTCAACTTTAGTTCTTCAGTGTATTGTTTTGATGAGCACTTTTTTCTAGTTATCCTTTTCTCTTTGGGATCATTTATACCGTATACTTGCCAAGAAATTATGGTGGATTATACTTATGCATCATTCTTATTAAAAACTTACAAACTACTCACTCTGTCCCAAAAAAGAATCCCATTTGGAAACATATTTTTGTCTAAAAAAGGTCTTGTTCAAACAAAGGAATATAACTTTAATTCTATGTAGTAGTTTAAGCATTGTTAAAAAAAATTGCCTCAAACTAGTTAAGAACGTTAAAATTAATTAAACCAGTGTATAAATTTAAAAGGAAAAATTCACAAGAATAATCCCACCTTTCGCCGGTCTTCTCATAATAATCCCACCTTTAAATAATCCCAAAATAATCCCACCTTTTCACTTCATCTTCTTCCATTGGACCCTAACCAAGTTTTTTTTACCTTTTTTGAGAATCTTATATAAATAATCTTACATTTATAAAGATATAATAAAAAAGTGAAAGGTGAGATCATTTATATGATTTTCAAAAAAAGAGTAAAAAACATGGTCAGGGTCCAATGAAAGAAGATGAGGTGCAAAGGTGGGATTATTTTGAGATTATTTAAAGGTGGGATTATTATGAGAAGACCGGTGAAAGGTGGGATTATTCTTGTGAATTTTTCCAATTTAAAAACACAGCTGCAATTGTTGATTTCCAAATACTTCTTAAAAACATTATTTTCCTGACTGATTTGACTGCAGGGTTCATTGCAATGTATGCTACATTGGCTAGCAGAGATGTTGATTGCTGTTTGATTCCAGAATCACCCTTCTATCTTGAAGGACAGGGTGGGCTTCTTGAGTATATCGAAAAAAGGCTCAAGGAAAATGGGCACATGGTTATTGTGACAGCTGAAGGAGCTGGACAGGAACTTATTGCTGCTGAGACTGCTACAGCTAAGTCCGAGAAAGATGCTTCCGGAAACCATCTTCTCCAAGATGTTGGTATGTGGCTTTCCCAGAAAATCAAGGTATATATATGGTCATACCCCCACACAATATCTTTCTGCATTTATTTATCAAATTCTCATGGTACTGATATACACTTCGGGCTTGTTAGGTCCAGGGATTCTGAGAGAAGGGTAGGGTAGGAATGGTTTTTACTTTACTAGTTTATCTCTATTTGTTAGTTTTAGACTTAAAAAAACTACGGAGTATATGATTTGTTAGATTGTGTATTTTTATATAGTTTTTTTTTAACTAGTCTTTCTTTTAATCTTCACATTTTTTTCCTTCTACATGTAGAAGTTACCAACTAAAAACTTAAATATCAACCTTCCTCTCAGAAATCCCTGATTTAAAGAAACCCTTAATAAACACAATATTTGTACAAATGGTAACATGTTATTTGCTTCTTGCAGGATTATTCTAAAGAGAGACAATTTCCAATTACTCTTAAATATATAGGTCGGATATCATCGTAATTAAACCTCTGTTTCCCCAGCTCTGCTCTTTGTGAGAGCTTTTTGTGAGCTAAATAAACATAGATCACATATTGCAGATCCAACTTATATGATCCGTGCCATCCCAAGTAATGCATCTGACAATGTTTATTGTGCATTGCTTGCTCAAAGTGCTGTGCATGGAGCAATGGCTGGGTTTACGGGCTTCACATGTGGGCTTGTCAATGGTCGCCAGACTTACATCCCATTTAATGTAAGTTTCAGATATGCCTACTCATGTTTTCTTCCTCGAGTTGTAGGTTGTTTGGATGGGCAGCTAATGATTTATCAATAATATATATATTTGTTATTCATTTAATATAGTCCTTGGCTACAAATGAGATTGATAAGAGCCTGTTTGGAAGGGAGGAGTAGTGTATAAATTTTAATTTTTAAATTAAGAGAGCTTCACTGTTCCCTGGGATTGGCTTTTGGCCTTTACTACCCAGCTTAGGTGGAAAGCGAAGAAGGCGAAGAAGCCATCAGTGAGATACTACTTTGAAAGGGCTAGAATTCTAACCTTGTGCCAGGACCTACAGGGCAAGGGAAGATTCAGGTAGGCAATTTCTATGCGGCGTAGGTCCCCCAAAGGTGCACAAAGGTTTCCTTGGGACAGTCAGAGATTGGCGCTGTGGTTTATGGTGATAAATAAATGACATTAGCTTACAGTAATTTATCATTTTATGCCTCAAGAAAATTATTAAGTTCTAATGCTAAATAATCATACATCTCCCTTCATCTGCGTGAAGAAGCTGCCCGAAATGTATAAGTGAATTGAACTGTAATGAGAATGTCACTGATACACTGGTCTTCACAAATTTGGTGGCGCTACATCATTGGTGGACGTCCTGTACACCTCAAGCGGATGAACAGTTTCACCAGCCTCCCTGTCAAACGTTCTCTCCTTGCCTAGTCTAACTTCTCAACCAGTCCGAACTGATATTTCTTGTTTAGACACTCAAACACTTGACACATACAACTGAACCATGTGAAACTGGGTTGGGAAGTTGACTTAATTTGTTCCATAATAGTTTTGTCTCATGTTTGGTGGCCCGTGAGACTGGACCAAATGAGAGATACATATAGTCCACCAATTTAGAGGGCATCATTAAATCAGCCGTAAGACAATTGAGACTTGTGGGTCTAAGAAATTCCCAACACGGGACAGGAGTGTTTAGAGTTTAGACCCATCCTCGATCCTAGCTAGTAGACCACTTAGGCACTTGCCAAACAAAGTCTTTGAATGTTTTTGCTTTTCACACGTTGCAGCGAATTATAGAGCAGCAAAACAATGTTGTGATTACTGATAGGATGTGGGCCCGGCTCCTTTCTTCAACAAACCAGCCAAGCTTCTTGTGTCCTAAGGTGGTGGAGAGGTCCAGGGAAGAGGAGAAAGAGCTAACTCAGCTGGTCGCTGTGGATAATGGCCAGACACCAGACGATTCTTTTACAACACCATCATAGATTGATATTGATATATACACATACACATATTACACATACACGTCGTACCGAGTATATTTTTTCTGAAGGAGGCGAAAATGGCATGCACACCATAGCTACGTACGGTATAGTTGATATGTAGACGCTAATTTATACTCCAATAATAGGTGATTGAACAAGTGGAATAAAATATATTTGCATCATTTAATATTAGAAAACATCCTCAACTATTGTGGTCTGAGGGCTTTTCACGTGGTCTGATAATCTGATTTGATGATCAACTTCCAATCCGTACCAAATTTAGTCCAGTTGGTATACCGTGGGAGCAGCCCACACTGAACATGGTGCTCCCATGCACAGTCAAAACACGCGTGTACTTTCATGCGTGAACAGTAATATTTTTTTTTTGTTGGTTAATGTCTCAATAGCAGGGTATGATGTAACTTATGTTGATAAGAAACGTAACTTGTTTAATACGAAGTATATATGAAAAAACATTAATTTCAATGTAAACAATCAAAGCAGGGAGTCTAATTGCTCAAATACTTTATGGGAATATGTTCTGTTTTTAATAATTAGACCATGAAAAGTATTTTTTTTTAAATCATTTTTTTGCCAAAAAATCTTATTTTTGCTTACAAATGTTTTTAATTTGTTCCAATAGCAAGGTTTTATTTTGTAAAGTAACTCGTGTTATCGAAATGTAAATCACATGGATGGAAATCTAACTTAGATTTATGCAAAATGTAATACATTGAGGCAAGTCCAAATGTAACTCGCACATAGGAAGATGTAACGCATGCATAAAAAGATGTAACTCGCGAATTAGAAGACGTAACTTCATATACTATCAAATGTAAACAAGGGAAGCAATGAATCTATTTGCTCAATTAATTTACATAAATAGTGAACATGTTTTGTTTTTAATATTAAGTGCATAAAAATAAATTTAAAGAAAAATCTTTTTGTTTGCATAGAGTGTTTTTTTGCCAAAAAAACTCTTTAAAAAAAAGGATTTTTTTTTGTTTCAATAGCGCACATGGTTTTATTTTGTGATGCAACTCGTATTATGGAAAATGTAACTCGCGTTGATGGAAAATGTAACTTAAATGTATGCAAAATGTAACTTGTAGAGATCATTCCACATGTAACTCACGCTTAGAAATATGTAAAACATGCATAAAAAGATGTAACTTCACATAATATCAAATAGCCCTAGACTCGGGATGGGTGGCCCGACCCGGAACCGGCCCAGGACTGGTACTGTGTTGAATCGTCCCGGCCCGGTGGCCCGGCCAGTGACCGGTCCAGGTAGGCCCGGCCCGGGGGGTTCTCGGTGCGGGATCGGGTCACCCAAAAGCTGAACCGGCCCGGCCGGTTCGGGCCCGGTTCCGGGCTTTTTATTTTTTTTTCAATTTTTTAACTTTTCGGGTTGGACTGGGTATTTTGGGCCATTTGGGGTGTGGGGGGGGGGGTTAATTAGGAAAAGGGAAAAATAATTTACCCGAGGCCCGGACTCGGACCCGGACCCGGACCAGACCCGGGGCGGTCCCGGGCCCACCTATTCAGAACCGGCGGCCCGGCCCGGACCCGACCCGGCCCGAATCCAGCCCTAATATCAAATGTAACTCCTGAAATTGTCAATAAACATAACTCACACATGTAGAAATATAAATCACACATATGAAAATGTAATCTCATATTTTATCAAATGCAAATCAAAATAACCAAATAATGTCTTAAAAAGTAGAAACATTAGTATAAAAGATGTAATAAATATATTATAGGAAAAAGTGTGAATATGAAAAATATATTACAAATAAGTTTATAAATATAAAAAATATTTTTTTTGAAAAAAAATAAAAAAAATTTGGTTGTAATGATAATTGAATAAAAAAGAAAAGAAAAAGTATATCATAAGAACTAAGAGAGAAATAAAAAGTAATTAATTTTTTTTGAAAGGATGAAAATTTGGTGACAAAATTGTAATACATAGTTTTCTTAATTTGTTTTGAGAGATTCCGATTTTCTTGAATTAAGAGAAAAACCTCAAAGTAATAAACGTAAAAGAGAGAAGAAACGTGGGTGGGATTGGGAAAGTGGGAGTGTGCGACTTAAGAGAGCGTGATCATCGAACAAGTAGATGCCGTATGTTTCTTTTTTTACTAAGTATTTTCGGCTTATCAGGCTTATCAGTCAACTTTTTCACCAAACACGTAAATTTTGCTTTCGCGCGCTGAATTGTGTAATAAGCAGAAAAAGTAAGGTTGGGGTTACTTTTATGGCTGAAGTTACTGTAGATGACAATTTTAGTTATTTTTACATATAATTTTTTCTTTCTTATATCAGCAGAATCAGCCAATGCAGCCACTTCTGCCAGAACTTCATAATTATTATTTTTTATACTGTTATGCACTGGATACTGGCTCTTGTGCCTCATATACCTGTATAATTTGTATAACTTTCTTGTGAATTAGATATCAGTTCGTATATATTATACTCCGTATATGAAATGTTTCACTTTTTTTGCCGAACTTTTTGGTAGCTATTATTGAGTATGAGAGCAGTTCATATGCATTAGATATTGGTGATTGTGTATTAGATACATGTTCTTGTGGATGAGGTGGCTGAAGATGCTTGTTGTGCTTTATTGTAAACATCTTATACATAATTTATTTTTTAAAATTATATCGGCAATATTGGTGTCATATGAAAGATCATACTCCCTCCGTCCCAATATTAAATGCACATATTTCTTTTTGGTCCGTCCCAATATAAAAAGGCACATTTCCCTTTTTGGCAAATAAAACAGTGTCAAACAGTGTTCAAACAATGTTCCTCCTAAAAATGTTTGAAAAAGAAAATGTGCTCTTTATATTGGGACGGAGAGAGTAAAAAGTTATTTAATTTGGGATAATTTTTGTTAAAATCATATTATCATTTTAAAGTTAATTTAATTTTTAAACTAAAGAAGTTTTTGTTGTAAATTCCTGAGAATGACAAGTGTGAATGTTTCATCCTTGTCATCAGAACACTAATCCAATTCCAGTCCTTGTAATAGACAGATTTTTAGGTTTAATGTTGTCAACAAATTATGTAGAATCATTCCTAGATGATTCATTCCAAGTCTGGCTAGTATAAATAGGGCATTCAATCCTTTGTAAATTTATTCAAGAATTCAGAAACTCAGAAACTTTCAGATATTAAGAAGAAGTTATTTAGAGGTTATTAGTATTATATCTATCTCTTAAATCTGTTCTTCATCTCCTTCATTTCACAACACGTTATCAGCACGAATCTGCTCAAAAATATCCAAGAAATCATCCTGCAGGTATGCACATCATCATATATTATTACTGTTAACTTTACCTTCAAATATATACGGAGTACATATATAACCATTAAAACAATTAACTACGTACACTTACTAGCTTGAAGTCTTGAACCGTAGGAAGCTTTATCTTTTCCTCTTGATAAATTAAATAAGAAAAGAAATAATATGACTTCAAGAAAATAGTTAAAGAGAGAAGAATTCGTAGACACCTAGAGTGTAAACAAACATTAAGCAAGGTGATATATGCACCTCTGAAGTGAATGAAAGAATACAAAATGATGGCTAGAAGAAAAAGAGAGAGGCGGTTAGACTAACTGGAACACTTCTATTTATATACGTAGTATAAGAAAACAGATAGCTCATTAAAAGACATTTCTACCCTTAAATCCTACGTGTCTTTCTCCCCAAATTTTTCTCCTTTCACAGTTTGTTGCCATGTGTCTCCCTCATGTTTAAGCGTTATATTTTCCTTGCGAACTACAGAAATTCATTCCCGTATGATTTCCATCTTCTCCGCACTCTCACCAAATTTCCAGCCTGATTTTTTTCGCTATCTCCCGCCGGTACACGCCTACACAACTTCATATGCGAAATTACCGCACAGCTCTTCACCTAATCGACATCGGTTCATACTCTCGCGTGGTACGGCTTTGTAATTCTTCGTTTTTATATATTTCGAACGAAATTTAACGCCTCTGTGCTTTCCATCTTCTCATCACTCACCTAATTTTCTCTCATCTCCCCAGCGACACATGTATTTGCCTGCGAAAATCACCAAATTTGAAGCTACTTACAATTCTTCATCTCACTTCAAACTAGCTCATCGTCTCACACGAGTTTTGCCATGTACCAGGCCAACAAGTCTACTATCTATTTGCTCTCAATCTATGAGATTACAGACCTTTGTGCTATTGCCGCTCTAGGTACACTGCCTCTTCTCTTATTCCATGTTCTTTTATTGTTGATGAATTTATTTATCAAATTTTTAGTGAGTTTTAGGTACACCAAAGCATATAAGCATGTAAGGTGTTTGATGAAATGCATACATGAGAAAAAATATTAGTTTTTATAGTTCAATTATATTTTTGGAATAGATGTTATATTCTCTTCATTCCTTATTCCTTATTTTAACATTCTTGATGGTTTCAATGAAAGTTTTCTCAAAGTTAAAGGTTTACTTTTCTATTTAATTTGTTAGTAGCGTCTAAGACTCTCTTTCTAACACTTTCCTATACATGAAATTATGAACTTTTTCTTAACAATCCCTTTCTAAAATAGATGTGCAGAATTCTGGCTTTCTTTCTTCCTTCTCTGTATGTGAAATTATGAACTTTAAGTTTACAATCATTGATGCTATAAATATCATTTTTATTCTTAAAAGGGCATTTTATCATTATTTATACTATTATGAATGTGTTCAGAAGTATAATACTTTCTCTACTTCCATGTCTCAATAATGCTCTGTTTCGTACACAGTGTTCTAATTATTCTTACTTTTTCAGCTCATATCATAAGTTACTATTTGCCTTCACTAGCTATGCCCTTCTCCAGTTTTCAACGTTTCCCATATGTCAACCTTTAACATTGTTCTAGGTTTCCATATAATTTAAATACAACTTACTCTTCCTCTTTTTTTACTGGATTTTATCTGATTTTAGAAACATGTGAGATTAGAATCTTGAGTGCCTTAACTTATATGTTCCAGATTTTCTTTCATTTTATCTTAGTTCAATTTGAATTATAATTACAATTCACTTTTCTTTTCCTTGAGACTACACTGTTTTAACTTTGTGGAAGTGATGGACAAAAAATCTATCCAACCCTTTTCAAATTCTTAGTAGCCATTCTTATTCTTAAAGTGCATTTTGAAGTGCTTCTACAAATCTGAACAAAGGCCTCCTTTTAGACAACTTTCTGATGGCTTATTATGTGTTCATAGTAAACCTGTGTTTCTGGAACAGAGGCTTGCTTAGAAACAATGTTTTAGGATTATAGTGGATTGTGTATATAAAATCAACTTTATTGTCCAAAAGTTATTTTAATTTGAAAGTAAACATATATATGAAAGTTATTTTATTGTAGGCATCTTTTTATGTGTTCCATAAAATAATGAAAAAATATGTTTACTTTTTAGCGTAAATAGGTTTTTAGATGTATCCTTCTCACTAGCCACTGGTGATTTTTTTTCTGTG